TGACCCATTGTTATACCTAAAGGTAACATGGTTCTTAGAGACTGCAGCCCCCAAAACAACTTTATTAAACTGAATTATTTAAAAGGGACACTGCACTGCCCAAATAAAAGTAGATGTACCCCCAATGAAAATATTCATGCATTTAATTATGCATTTTTCATGGGTGTGGTATCTAAAAATGGCTTGGAAAAAAATGCAGATCTTTTGTCTGCAGCGAGAAAGTGAACAGTTCGGTAAATATGGCTAAACTATTGAAAAGATCGTGCTTTGTACTGATGCTCAGGACATTTTTTTTCCCCTTACATCTGACCCTGAGGATGTTCTAGTTACACGATCTCCGTGGTTACCTATCTAATAATACCTGTTTTCCTCACTCTGCCTCGCTCTGAGCGCTGTAACCTTGGGCATAAACTAGAAAATCTATTAGCAGTATTATTAATACATAATTGACAAACACCTCCAAAAATAGAACCTTCTCTAGATTATTGTGGATAATTTATAAATGAACAGTTTTGAGTTTAACCCATATGGCTATTTAAAATATATCACAGAACTTAGATGCTATATGGAAAAAATATTAAAGAGCACATTAATACAGTTACATTAAAAAAAAATATGAAAAGACAATGTTTTTTGTTATTGCTAGCTTGTCATAAGGGAGTTTTCCATGGTGTATCCCTATGTTGACAGTACATGTTTTATCCTTATAGACGCCTTCGACATCTAAACATTCTGACAAATTCTCTCTGCCCAATATATCACTGCACCATCTGTGGTGACATGTTTAACAGCTCAAACTAGCAAGCTTCTTGCCTTGATCCACCAGAAGTTATTCTCAGAAAGATGGAGGAACCAGCTGAAATTGCTCTATAGCAGCGTTTCCCAGTTGGTGTGTTCCGCGGAACACTAATTGGGGTTCCGCCAAAAAATTTTATACACTATGTCTAAGGATTACACTGGAAAAAATAATTGGGAACCCCTGCTCTATGGTTATCTAAATTGTGTTTCAGTGCTAGATTATAGTTGGCCAGGGCCCGAGGTAAGCACCCTCTCCTCCAACCTTCAGCTCTGTCTCTGTGAGTGATGTGTTTGTGATGGCTGAGTGTTTTGTGTGTGATATTGTGTGGAGGAAGGTGAGAACTGAGTGTGTATGCGTGCTGATTGAGTGTTGTATTTGTGGTTGCTGAATTACATGTGCCTGTGTTCTCCTCCCTCCTCCTGCTTAGCTTTCCTGGTGGTCCAGCGGAGTGTGAACAGGATCCCTGGTGGTCTTGTCAGACATGTTATGCCAGAAAATACGAATATTATTCTACTACGCACACTACAGGTCACAATTAGTGATGTCGCGAACGGTTCGCCACGGCTCGCTGCGAACCGTTCGTGGCGAACTCCGGTCAGCTGACACATCCCTGCCAATCTCCGGCAGACCCTCCCTCCCAGACCCTCCCATCTCCCGGACAGCATCCATGTTGAAGCTGCCTTCAACATGGATGCTGTCCAGGAAGTAGGAAGGTCTGGGAGGGAGGGTCTGCCGGAGATTGGCAGGGATGTGTCAGCTGACCGGAGTTCGCCGCAAACCGTTCGCGGCGAACCGTTCGCGGCAAGTTCGCGGACGGTTCGCGACATCACTAGTCACAATTAATAAAAATGGGATATCCCTACAGTCCAGTGGGGGAGTTTTATGATTTGCACTAACCTCACGTGCAGATCTCTTTAAGAGTGCATTCACAGTTCAGGCACTCTGAGTCATTAAGTAGTGCCAGAGGACAGACCACAAGTCTCCCTCTGTGAAGTGTGGAATCACTGGGCCATGTAGAGATTTTTTTTTAAATTTCCTGCCGGCTCGAGGAGAGCCCGCTATAAGCTGAAGCTCCAAGCCCTAGGCGACTGCTTTGGTCACCTAAAGGGTAATCCAAGCCTTCTGTCTTCTCTGTTCCTAATTCTAATACAGTACAATGTTGTTTGTAGGTAAGCGTGAATTGTCTTCTCACTCAACTGCCCAACCCACTCAGCTGTAGGGATTTATAAACATGTCCCTAACAGTCTAGAAAAGTGATGCAAGAAAAAGTATCAAATTCACCATGGAGACCAATAGAATGTTTCTACATATTTCTTTGTATTCTATTGCCCAGCTCAAGAACTTTGCTTGACATTTTTTTATTGACAGCACAACAGCTTTATACGTTTTTGCATTTCATAACCAAAAACAATTTGTTCCAGACATACACATTGTTCTTTGAATGAAACAGTGTGACATTACATTTAAATGCTTTAAAAGTATAACATAGTGAACACTGACTTTGAAAAGTAATGAATTCAATTTTTGGGGATAAGTAACGCTTCCAACCAGTTGGGTACCAGTATGTATCGCATAACCGGCTATGTTTTATGTAATGCTTCACTATGTCAGCTTGTCTGTAGCCCCGCTGTCTTGCACGGTGCTGATACATTTGCTGGTGCTTTATGAATAATTGTAAACAAGTTTATTTTTATTTTTTTGTTTCTGTAAAAATGATATGATATATTCAATGCATCATCCTCAGCAAGGTGTTCTATACAATGATGAAAATGTATTTCCCTTGGATATACATTTTGTTCACCCACAAGATCTACAGCTTTGCAGAGCTCAGTAGGCGACCTGACCTTGATGGGTCCTCAATCAACATTCATAAGGAACTTGTCAGCAAAAATACAAACAAGGAAAATCTTGAATCTGTTAAAGCGCCCCTCTGTAGTATGTGTAGGGATCAGCTCCACTTGCATGATCAACAAATTGTAATATAATCTCCTGCTTACTCTTCTGGTTGGTGCTCAAAGGGTTTAGAGAAAACTCCTGTTTTCAAGCCCTCTTACTCAGAATATAATTAGCAATCTATCATGCTGCAAGGCATATTACATGTTTCATTAGCTTTGGCAAGGTAAGATTGTATTACAAAAAATCCCTCCAGATGTTTCTTTGTTTTATTGTGTACAGTATTTGGTCAAGTTTACCTTAGTAGAATCACAGAAGCCATTTTAGTCTTGGTTTGGAAGTCTGTCCATAACCATGCCATTTGCCAGCTCTGGTTCCCTCAGTTTGCCATTGTCAATCTTCTCTGCGTTTCTGATTCCTTCGATTTCCTCTGTCTACAACTGATTGCTCCACATCACTATGCTGGCTTAAAGCCGTATTTCCATTTATAACTGATCCAGTTCACCTTTGAACCTTTGATTCCTCTGTAGATTTCAGTAATTCTGCCCATTTCACAAACGCCTTGCACCTGATTGTGTACAATATTGTACTGTCTTTGCAGTTTGGATGTAGATGGTTGTTCCATTATGGTTGGAATGTTGTGCAACTTATTTACAGTTGCTGAGAACATCTATTTTATACCAATAGAAAAAAGATATATATATATATATATTTGGGATTGCTTGTGTCTGACATGCAATGTTTCAATGTAGAACAGTTGTTCTAAAGTAGAGCTTGTTTCTTCTGTTGGCTCCTCATAGTTTCCAGTCTGTGATTTACATACTGTCCTAATCACCAAACTATATATGTATGTTAGTTTTTTTTTTCCTTTAGATTCATAGGTACAGGTTTAACTACATTGTTCTGTGATGTTTTTTTATATTTTCGGCTGCAAGACTCTCAGGCTCAGGGAATTGTCAAGTCCTTAAAAAAATGTCATTTTACATTCTTTTCTATAACCCATTTAAATAAAATAATTATTTACAGACTAATTTTATAAAGAATGAATAGCTTAACTTATATATTTGACATTTCCTTTTGCCTGTCTGACACAGATAATGCAAAGGGAATTTCTAATTTAAAGAAAAACTACAGTTCCAGGAACACAAACTTGTATTCCTGACACTATCGTTTTAAAATGACTATTCTGTTTCTACCAGCCACACTTCCCCCCCCCATGGAATTAAAAGGTGAGTTTATTTACCCTTTTCTCTCACCCCGCACACGCAGCTGGCCCCACCTTCATGGCTGAGGTCCATCAGTTTTGATGACCTCAGCTAATCCAATGCTTTCCCATATGAAACATACACAAGCGTCAACAGTAGTAAGGCAATGGATTAAAGCAAACTAGTTAAAATAAGCAAGAGTATTTGCATGAGTGTGTCATAAAAATGCATGCAAGAGCATACTTTAGAGCAATTTGGGCATAAGCAATTGTGCAATACTGGCACACCCACTCTTGAGTCTGCGTCCCAGATTGTCAATTTCAGTTCCTGAGAGGTGGACATGATCTGTCTTGTTCTGACTGTCTGACTATCTGTCCATTTTCTCATCTCTTTATCTGTAAGATCTCTACATCATACCCTTACTGAAGCATATAATCTGGTTATTTTGTCCCTGTTCTGAATCTATCTACTCATAGTAACAGGCGTCTCGTTAATTACATATATACTTATTAATCTTTGCAGTAAGAAATTCTTCATTCCTGTAGGATCATGACCCACAGGGAGGATTCTGCTTCTAAGCAGAGATTTTCACAGAGAACGTTCCGCATGCAGTGTTCAGCAGGTCCGTTAGCGATTTCAGTTAAATACTTAAAATAATTTCATATAAGTAATTATGTTTTGTGGCCTGTAGCCAAACTGACGTTTTCTACTTCATAGAAGCTCCAGAGGAAAATCTATATTTAAAACCTGGTAAAAATATATATATTTTTTGCCCTTGGGTAATTAAATAGAATTCCTTGTATGCAGGAAAACTGAGATAAGTAAGGTGCTGAGCTTTTAATATGGCTGTCTTTACAGTGTCACCGTCTACGCCGAATTTCAGATGAATACGAGTTGGTTTCTGAAAGTGTGGGCTTGTAACTTTTCAGATATGTGTTTGGATCACAGCACAGTCTATATCTTTTCTCCTAGTCATAAGCTTTTCAGAAGGTTTGGTTTTTGATAGACACATTGTAGATCTATAGTGATGTCCCGAACGGTTCGCCGAACGGTTCGCCGCGGACTCATCATTGAGTAAACTTTGACCCTGTACCTCACAGTCAGCAGATACATTCCAGCCAATCAGCAGCAGACCCTCCCTCCCAGACCCTCCCACCTCCTGGACAGCATCAGAAGCTGCATTCTTATGAGCTGTCCAGGAGGTGGGAGGGTCTGGGAGGGAGGGTCTGCTGCTGATTGGCTGGAATGTGTCTGCTGACTGTGAGGTACAGGGTCAAAGTTTACTCAATGATGAGTCCGCGGCGAACCGTTCGTGGCGAACCGTTCGGGACACCACTATAGATCTACACTGATCAGCTACAACATTAAAACCACCTGCCCAATATCATGTTGGTCCCACTACTGCTGCAAAAACAGCTCTAATGCATCAAGGCATGGACTCCACAAGACCTCCGAATGTGTTTTTTGGTATCTGGCACCAAGATATTAGCGGCAGATCAATTAAGTCCAGCAAGTTGTGAAGTGGGGCCACCGTGGATTGGATTAGTTTTTCCAGCACATCCCACAGATGCTCAATCAAATTGAGAACTGGAAAATTTGGAGGCCAAGGCAACACCTTGAACTCTTTGTCATGTACCTCAAACCATTCCTGAACAATTTTTGCAGTGTGGCAGGGTGCATTATCCTGCTGAAAGAGACTGAAATCAGGAAACACAATTTCCATGAAAGGTCAGTCTGGTGGTACATGTCAAAATAACATCTACATGAGTCCAAGGACCCAAGGTTTCCCAGCAGCACATTCCCCAGAGAATAACACTGCTTCTGCTGGCCTGCTTTCTTCCCTTTCCTTCTGCCATCTCTTACCCAGGTAAACGATGCACACACACTCGCCCAAAAGACCAAATATTACAGGACTTTCTTGTGTTAACACAATTATAGGATGTCACTTTAATAAAACTATGTATATAAATGTTGAACTGCGGTGCAGAATGTTTTGCTAATTAAAGGAACACCATAATGTTTGGAATACAAACCTAAATTTTTAACCCGATATTGTTCTCCCCAGCATTTCAATTTAGCCCTGCCAGATAATTAAAAAAAAAAAATGGAAGAAGGTATTTACCTTCAGCCTCAGCCTCTTCAGAAACCCAATCCACCTTCTGGGATATCACTTTTCATCTTCTAGTCCTTCATCTTGATAGTGGTGCAGGCCAGCACCACACTCTTCCAAGCAAATGCTTTTTATGAGGATCATTTAAGGAGGTTACCTGTGAGAGGTGAGTCTGACTCCGTTCTCACTGGGGACGCACCTCCAGTGGCTGTCATTTGTGACGTGTTTGGCCCTTCAATGGAAACATTGCTGTATCTACTAAATAGCAATGCAGGTGTAATGCACCCAGAACACTTCACTGAGATTAAGGGGTCTGGGTGCCTATCGTGTATCAATATAACAAGATGGCATTAAAAGAAATAAGCTACGTGCATCAGAAGGTTTATATTTTATTGGAGAGCTGTTTTTCAGGTACCTCTTTGTGGCAACATATTGGTTAAAGGGACACTCCAAGCACCATAATCACTGCAGCTCTTTATGACAGGTTCTAGAAGGATGTTGAAGCTATCCGTCTGGTTTTCGGTCAAACTGATTCCAGACAGACAGCATGACAAAAAAAAATGTCCTACCATCCAAAGCCCACCCCTTATGCTTGGCATAACACTTGAGGAAGTTTCACTTTCTAATAATCTTTCCAAAATATTTGCAATGCTCCACTTGAGTGGGAAGACTCCCACACTGAATAGACTCCAGTCTTCCCTCTCAAGTGGAGCACTGCAAACCCAGAGCCAGGGGTGATAAGGCTCTGGTAAATATCTGTTCTATCAGTTTAGCGCGCTCTTTTTGGTAAACATTTGTCTGTATTCTCTGTATATTTTTGTATCACCGCAGTTGAGTGCTGCCTTACTGAATATGTTATATTCTATAGCGCTCACACATTGTTGTTTTTTTCCAAAGTATTTCTACAGACAAAGAGATTGTGGATGCTCTGGACAGGGCAAACCTAAAACTGTTAATTTGGTGCTGTCAATCAGGTTTATAATGATGCAGAGAATCTGACCCACAGCAGCTAGTCTGAACCCTAGCAACCTCATCGTTCATACCAGATTACCCAACAGTGAGTGTCAGGGCATTTCACCTGTAACCCCACTCCGCTTTTGCAAGTAGCATGTTTCACCTTATTTACAAGTGCCCAGGAAACCATAATAGGTTTCACGTTGTATCTGCTCCTTCTTGGAAACATATGGCACGTACTTCGGAAAAAGATAATGTGCTTCAGGAGATTGTCTGTCATTTTCCAAGTAGCGGAAGCCTGAGAGGCACTTATAGGTCTTCTGCAGTGATTTTTACTTTTTCCAAATGCCAGTTTGACATGCTCACTCGGCAGGGTGTACATTTTTACCTGGTTTATGGCTCTTTTATCGAACTTACTAAGTAGGACGCTGTGAGTGGTTTTCAAGAACTCAGAAAGACAAAATAAATATATAAAAAAGACAAGTGGTCACTTGTTCCTTTTAGGTCACAACAACAAGAACAGATCCATTACAAAATGACTTATTCAAAAGTGACAACCATTAAAGGGGAACTATAATTTCTCTGGAATTAAAAAGAAAGCATTGAACATTACCTGGAACTTAAGTTAACCTTTTCTTCATAAGATGCTACTTTGTGTATTATATTAAAGATTTAACAAGTTACGTCATAATCCAGTACAGGCAAGACAATGCAAAGCTAGGGCAAATATTGCAGTGAAGAGGAGACATAGAAATATTGGTTCACCTCTGCTCTTTACTCAATACTGACTGCTAGCAGGGCCAGTGAAAGGATTTTTGGCTACACAGACAAAGAAGCATTTTGCTGCCCCCTCCCCCAAATAATACATTTTCCCATGTGTGTCTTGCAACCCTCGTTTGAATTTCTTACCTCCTTTAGTGTGTCATATCTCCTCTTAAATATTTTACCATTTGCCACCTTTGTGTTTGTTACATCTCCTTAAGTGTATTATATTCCCTCTTTAGTCAGTGTCAGTTTTGCATTTTTTGGGGGGGTAGGGGTAGTATTGTGGGGGATAAGGCTACTACGGGGAGGGATAGGGGCAGTATTTTTGGGGAATAGGGTCCCACTCCCGCCGGGCTGAAGAGGAAGGAAGGGATTAAACACTTACCTTTCTCCCTTGACGCTGGGGAAATCTCCTCCCTCCTCCGACGTCAGGGCTGAATGCTCATGCGCGGCAAGAGCCGCGCGCGCATTCAATCAGTCCATAGGAAAGCATTTCTAAATGCTTTCCTATGGATGTCAGCGTCTTCTCACTGTGATGAAGTGTGGAAGCGCCTATAGCGGCTGTCAGTGAGACAGCCACTAGAGGCTGGATTAACCCTAATGTAAACATAGCAGTTTCTCTGAAACTGCTATGTTTACAGCTGCAGGGTTAACCCTAGGTGGACCTGGCACCCAGACCACTTAATTGAGCTGAAGTGGTCTGGGTTCCTATAGTGGTCCTTTAACTTCTAAAGATTCCTTCTTTTAATTGATCAAATCAGTCTACCTCTATACTCCATAGTGTGTTTAGAGCTAGCCCTTTCTACTTCCATATGGCTTAAAAGAACACTGTAGCATTAGGAATACATATCTGTATTCCAAACACTACAGTATTCATGTCCCACTTAGTTTTAGTGCCCGCCGGCCTGCAAATAAAAAATGGAAGAAAACACCAATGAAAACAAAAATAAATTAACTCCCCTTCTTTCCAGCCCCACATCTCCTGCCGTGTCCTCCTCCTAGGGTGATGTGAACAGGATGATGTCCAATCCAATGCTCCTCATAGCTGATCTTTGGGGACTGTAGGTGCATTCATGGCACTCACCGCGATGAGCCTGTGATCCTTCAAAAGAGAATCATTGCATACAATGGAGACAAAGCTTGAAGCTGTGCTTCCAAGCATTCTAATTAGTCAAATATTTAGGTTTGTGGCCACCTAGGATGAGGAAACAAGTGTATGCACTATGACAATTTAATCTAGATAAAGTTGTTATAGTGATAACAGTGTTCCTTTAATTGAAATGTTAGATCCAGACTAGCCCAGCTGCTTTTACGGCTCACAATCACTGTAAAATATACAGTCATTAAACAATAGCAGAGATACAAGCCTGCAGAGGTCAATTTAACAGGTAAACCAGGCTGAAAATACACAAAGGACCAGTGTAACAAAACCTAATCAGCTTTTGCTGGAGGGTTACTAAAAACCACATCACTCAGTGGTTTCCTATGCACAACATTCTGCCAAACTGCATTATTTATTTAAGGCAATTCAAGTGCAATATTTGTTTCCATTAAGTCTTTTGGTGTCTTTCGGCTCTTTACAAGAGATGTGATCTCTACCATTATAAATTGCCCCTCTGGCCAAACATATTGGAAAAGCAGGATGGTATTTTTTATTTATTATTATTTTGTATACGAAATCTCTTACATGCCTTAGTAGTCTGCATCCAAAATAGAAACAAGTAAAAAAGCACATTCAGTTTCAGCGTGGACGGAGAAGACTGCCATCATCTGAAAACGTTTAAGGAGAGCTATTTAAGCAAGAATACCTGGCAAAGATGACGGAGAGTGAAGGTGGAATAAAAATGTGCATATGTAAAGAGAGAGCGAGAAAAGAAACAAAATGGTGGTAAATGTATGTTTTTGTTAGTGACTTATAAAATAGCTTAGGACACATAATGAGGAGACTTCATCATATGTTAGCCACACACCCACACAGATATGTGATGAAGCGTTTATTTTCATGGTGGGTATGCTATAGGATATTAAATATATGCATAGAAATGGCAGTGTTTCACGGCTTGAATTCTGCATAGATGCCACTTGTAGAAAATTACCTGTATAGTCGAAGAATAGCCATAATTATATTTTGTGGAAGGGAAGTCCTAGTTCCTTTTTAAATCATTAAGCACTGTTAATTTAAAGGAACACTGGCATCTGTTTTTGTTCTTCTTCTTATTATTATTATTATTAAGTAAAAGATAACATTTTGGTCACTGTAAGCATTTGTTATCGATACCTCTCCTCTTTGCTTTGTGGGGGCAGCCATCTTAAAGTTCTCCTTGGTCATAAATACTGTATGTCCGAGCTCAGACCATACAAGTAATCGAGAGCTAGCATATGATATGTATGTATTACAAAATAATATATGGAGAGGCTACATTAC